CTGGGGGATTGAACCGCGGTCCCTGTGCTTTGCTAAGCTTGTTCTAAGTAGGTGCTTTAGACCACTGAGCCATCTCACCAGCCCCCTAGATCCCCTTTAGAACCAGCCAGGTGTTGAAAACCCACGGAAGGGCCACCATGGGGAGCTGAAGGGAAGAGAGGCAGAGGGTGATGGTCAGTTTGGGGGAGAGGATGGGGCTTCCCAGGTGGGGACTGTTGGGAAAGGGGAGTCCAGGCTTTCCCTCTCATCTCCAGGCATTTCTACACTCAGCCTCGCAGGACAGTGAGCATTATTAGCTTCACATGGCCGAGCATGCCTCTCCCTTCAGAGGGTGGCTGCCACTGTCCCAGGTGCATGCCCGCCCGCCTTTGTGTTCTGCTCACTGCCCAGGACAGGAGATGCCCTCTTTGCAGCACGTCATCTCTTGCTATCACCTCACCCTTGACTTTGTCCTGTCCTATACTTGGATTTCTATTTTGTGATGAACTTAACTGCTTTTTTTCATATTAAAAAGAGACATTGCCCCAAGAGCCAAAAATAAATGGGAATTAAAAAAACAAAACAAAACATGGATTATTTACTTTTGAGGTTTTTTTTTTTTTTTTTTTTTTTTTTTTTTTTTTTTTCGGAACTGGGGATTGAACTCAGGCCACTCCGCTTGCCAGGCAAGTGCTTATTCCACTGAGCCAGCTCCCTGGCCCCTAACATGGATTATTTAGAAGGATGCCAAATAGCATCCAAGACTTTGAGGATTTTTCTCTTAATTTTTTGTTTGTATTTTATTTGAGATACTGTCTTGCTATGTAGTTCCGACTGCTCCTGAACTCACTGCATAGCCTAGCTGGCCTAGAAATTGTGATTATCTTCCTGCCTCAGCCTCCTGAGTGCTGGGATTGCAGCCAGGCACCACCATGTCCAGCTTGTTGTTGATTTTAATTTTATTCCATTGTGGTCAGAAAGACATTTCATGGTATTAATATTTTTAAAAATTTCTTAAAGTTTATTTTTTGACCCATTGTATATTTGGTCATGTTTTCTGGGACATGAAAAGAGTGAGTAAAATGACATTTGTCTTAGTTACTCTTCTCTTGTTGCTGGGACAAATACCCGACACTCAAAATGAAGGAAGGAAAGGTTTATTTAGCTCACAGTTACTGGAGGTTTCAGTCCATACTCAGCTGGGTCCAACGCAGAGCAACACATAGCAGAGGGCAACCTTTCATGGCAGCGGCAAAGAGCAAGAACACAAGGGAGGGGCAGCAGCAGCTCAAGCAGCTAGCTTCTCTTCCCACCTTACATTGTAATGCAAATTACCTGCCCCAGGGTAGGGGAAGTACTCATACCTATGGGTACTTCCCAGTATTTACCCACCTATGGGTAATCCCAACAGTACTAAAACCCATAATCCCAGCCCTGGATCACACATAATCCCAGTGGATCATGAGTTAACACAAACTCTAGAAGTCCTCACCCCATGACTGCATGAGGCTTTGGGGGAACAACTAGACACAAACCATAACAACATTATTGAGTAGAAAATTCTATACAAGTTAATTGAGAAAAGGGTGAAATCACAACAGATCCTACAGAAATCCAGAAGGTCATCAATGCTGTATCAGTCAGTGTCTTACTAGAGAAACAGATATAACTGTATAAGAATTTGCATGATTGCCTTACAGTGGTCCCACACAGAGTGCAAGGAAGCTTGTGGAAGTTGTCTGCACATTGGAGAGCAAAGGATTCAGTCCAAGGTCTGGAGCTCACTTCAGTGTCCCATACAAGTCTATGCCAGCATTCTGATGGGTCTGCAATGGACGGTTGAATGAAGAGTCTCCCACAGATCCCGGAGAGTTCACTGGAAACCAGGAGATATGCAAAGGGAAGATCTCCTCTGAAGAAACAGCAGCTGATTCTTCCTTCCTCATTTCCCCTTTATGCCATTCAGGTGATGAGCCCTAGGGTGGGTCTGCCACACCCTCAGGTGTGGAATTGCTGAGCAGATTTAGTTAAGCTTCTTTTAACTAAATTGAAATTGACACAAGCGCTCAACCATCACAAATGTTTACTTCCAGAACTTGTGATAAGATGGAAAACACTGAAGAAATGGACAGATTCCTAGATGCATATTAATTACCAAGGCTGAATCAAGAAGATATACAAATTCAAAATAAACCTATATCAGTCAATACAATTGAAGATATAATTAAAAACCTACCACCAGGACTCAGGCACTGAAGAATTCTACAAGCTAGAGAAGACCAAATGACAATAACCCTCAAACTCTTTAATGAAATTGAAAGGAAAATACTACCCCTAAATTCAGTCCTGGGGTCTGGAATATCGGTCAGTGGCATAAGCACCTGCCTTGAAAGTTCAAGCTCCTGAGTTTGCCTAGAAGCAAACATTACACTAGTACCCAAACCAGAGATGGATCTATTAAAAAAAAAAAAAAAAAAAAAACTATAGGGGCCGGGGAGATGGCTCAGTAGAATAAGTGCTTCCCTGGCGAGTGCAAGGATCTGAGTTCAATCTCCGGTTCTGCAAAAACAAACAAACAAACAAAAAACTATAGGGCAATCTTCATAATGAACATAGATGCAAAAATCCTCAACAAGATACTGGCAAAAAGAGTGAAACAAATCATCAACAATGTTATATACCATGACCAAGCAGGATTCATGCCAGGGATGCAGGATGCCAGGGATGCAGGGATGTTCAATATATGCAAATGTAATACACTATATTTACAGAGCCAAAGACAAAATCCATATGATCATCTCAATAGATGCAGAAAAAGCATTTGACAAAGTCCAACACCTGGGCTGGCGCAATAGCTCAGTGGACAAAGCACCTGCTCTGGCAAGTATAGGGACCAGGGTTTGATCCTGAACACCACATGCTGCACCAGCCCCATCCCCAGGTGCTCTGGAGTGTGGTGATGCTTTGTAATCTGAGCACTGGCAAGGCTGAAAACAGGTGGATCACTGTGAGTCAGAGCTATGTAGTGAGAACCTGTATGAAAAAATAAAAAAAAGAAAGAAAAAAGTCCAACACTCACGATAAAAACTGTATAGAAATTGGAATAGATGGTCTTTACCTCAATCTGTTAAAAGTCATTCATGGCAAACCAACAGCCAGTATCATACTAAGTGGACAAAACATGAAAGTTCTCACTCTAGAATGAGCAATAAGACAAGGATATCCACTCTCACCAATCCCATTCAATATAGTTCTGGAAACATTAGCCAGAGTAATAAGACAAGAGAAAAAAATAAAAGGAATAAGGATAGGCAAGGAAGAAGTTAAATGATCATCATTTGCAGGTGACATATTCTACATAGAAGACTCTAAAAATTCTACTGTAAGACTTCTAGATTTAATCATCAAATTTAGAATAGCTGGATGCAAATTTAACACTTAAAAATCAGTAGTATTCCCATACACAAATAACAAACTTGCTGAGAATTAGGGAAACACCTTTCAAAATAGCATTCAAAGAAATGAAATACCTAGGAATCAATTTGACAAAGGAAGTAAAAGACCTTTGTGTTGAAAACTACAATACAGTGCTCACTTGGGCAACACATATACTAAAATTGGAAAACTACAGTACTCTGAAAATGATATCAAAAAAATGGGAAGATATCCCTTGTTCTTGGTAAGGAAGAACCAATGCAATGAAAATGGCCATACTTTCAAAATTGTTATATAGATTTAATGCAATCTGATCGAAATACTAACAGCAAATCTCTCAAAGTTAGACAGAACAATTCTAAAATTCATTTAGAATCAGAAGGGACCTAGAATAGCAAAAGAAATTCAGGGCAATAAGACAAGGCAGGAGGCATCACAATCCCTGACTTGAAATTATATTACAGAGCTACTGTGATCAGAACCTGGTATTGGCAAAAAACAAAACAAACCAATCACCAGACCTGAGGATCAATGGTACAGATTAAAAGATGCAGATATAACTTGAGAGATACTCAGCCACTGCATCTTTGACAAAGGAGCCAAATACCCTTGCTGGAAGAAGGATAGGCTCTTTAATAATTGGTTCTAGAGGGGTTGGGGAGATAGCTCAGTAGAATAAAATATAAAAAATACCCAAGAAAACAGAAACAGTAAATCTGCTGTAAGATAGAATAAGTAGAACTCTTGAAGACACTGGTGTAGGCAAATACTTTACGAACAAAAACCCAATTACACAGGAACTATCACAAAGAATCAACAACTGGAATCTCATCTTATTAAAAAGAGAGCAGGGCCTGGGGAGATGGCTCAGTAGAATAAGCACTTGTCTGGTAAGCACAAGGGTCTGAGTTCAATCCCCAGTTCTGCAGAGACAGAGACAGAGAGAGAGAGAGAGAGAGAGAGAGAGAGAGAGAGAGAGAAAGAGAAAGAGAGAGAGAGAGAACAGGGGGTGGGGACGTAGCTCAGTTGAATAAGCACTTGCCTGCAAGTGTAAGGGCCTGAGTTCAATCCCTGGTTCTGAAAAAAAAAAAAAAAGAGAGAGAGAGAGAGAGAGAGAGAGAAAGACAACCCACAGTATGTGAAAAAATGTTTTCCAGACATTCCTTGGACAAAAGCTAATATCTAGAACATACAATGAACTCAAAATATCAGATCCTCAAACTTA